ATGCTCTAAGTGTGGCTTACAGCTGCTGTCTTTTATGGCTGGGGTGAGGATACAGGCTTTCACAGGGTGAGGACACTGCTACAGAATTAAATACAAGCTAGATCAAAAAGACCCCACTTATTGCAGGGATTGCCATTTTACGTAAATTTGTACAAAGCTCGAAATGGCAGGCTCACATAGCTCATCTCTACACACTACTGTGGCATAAAGCAGCCTTGTTCTCATCATACTGAAGTAGTTATTTCCTCTTCTAGGTGAGGAAATGTACATATGCAAGCAAGAAGAATAATAGTGTGATTTGTTTCTGACTGTAAATGTCTCTGTAACTACATAATGCAAACTAGGTATTGCCCTTGAAGACCTGGAGAGCAGCCAATGTGCTGTGCTTCCTTGATGTAAACAGTTATGCATAAACAGCATTTCTTTTTACAAGGTCTGTACTACTCCAGCTTCCAAGTGTTCAGACCAAGATTCTTCTTCTGCAGCTCCTTATCTGAGCTTTTCTGCAGTTTGCTGAGTACCCTCTAAACAACCCTTACCTTTGCAGCTGCAAAGAGATCTTCCCTCTAAGATCTGAGAGGAATTCCACCCACGCACACTCATGACCATGCCCGTAACAGATGTTGCATCTCTGCACTTCCAAGGTGCCATTGAAGCCCTCACCGTTTTGTCACACTCTGAACCACGCTTAATCAGAGCTGCAAGGTTTGCTCCTGTCATGGGGTGGGTGTTTGTATGTGTGCGAATGTGTGTGCACATATGTCTGTGTGTGTCTAGAACATCTGCTTTGTCACCTGTACACGTAGGTATGCATAAAGCCAGTCACCAGAGTCACAAAGTTTCAGCCCAAAGTGGCCCATGCAGAAGTCTTCACTTTAATCAAGTTTTAAGAAAACAAGAAAAACAAATCTGTGGCATTTGTAGTAGATACATATGTAAAGAGAAACAAAGGATCCTCTCCTCCTCATAGGTAGACTCAAGTTGAATACTTAAAACAGCTACAGAAATAATATTTACATGTGTGTAAGGAGTATTTATTTTGTGGGTGTCAGTAGATATGAAAACATTTGCTTAATTTTGAAAAGAGTAATTTGGAAAATATTTTGTATGGTAGGATCCTTGGTATTTACTAAAGGAATTGTATTCTTTAAAAATTATAAAGAATTTACATAACTGATTAGTAATCGTAGACTTGTTGCAGAAAATAAAGCACGCTGAAAGAATAAATATGTTCAAAGAAACAGATTTTGGCATCTCAGTCAGTATTCTTTCTGTAGGACTAGACTTTGCAAAGGGTCAAATTGGACAGTCTGGAGCTTAAATTCCTGTAACTCGCCTCACACAGCTCTTTTGCTAATGCTTATTCAATTAAAGAATGAGTCTATTCTAAAATTAACTGTGGCCACAGGGTCTAGTATTAACAGGATGTTTCCATTTGTGAGTACTGTGTGGCTTCTTTCAAGGGAAGTGGGAGTTTCTGTATGAAGCCAGTGGATCCACTGTACAGCTGAGGTAGAGAAGAAGACAGCAGATGTCACAGTTGGGGTTAGTCCACACAAGAAAACCTTGCCCAGAAAAATTAATTACACAGGGAGTAGGTGTGATTTTCAATACCACTCCGCCACTGGCCTATTTAAACTGGTCCACCTGCAGCTGCATTATGACTTCTATCATTACTGCAATGCATTGCATCAGTTTTGGTTTCCATACTTAAATAAACTGCCAGCTTATATTAACCTATGTATAGATATTTTCATGCGGTTTCCTAGTGGGAAAGGATTATGCAGACATACTATACACATCAATCCTTACTATAATTCCTGGCTGACCTTGTTAGCTGATTTTAATCAATCCCCAAAAAGCAGCAGAGATCTCAGACACAATTACTTTCCCACAGTTTTCATAAAGACGGATAAGCCAAGTACAGGAAAGACTTCCTGTTATTGCTGGCATGAGGGACAGCCTGCAGTTAAGCCTTTATTACACTCAGAAGAGGACCATTATGAATGCTTTTAAATGAAGGAAATGAGCCTTTTATAACCCACACCTTATTAGATATTGGAGATTCTAACCATAAGACATGAAGCAAGAGCAGATTGGACCTCTTGAGCCCAGCTGCTCACGGCAGTGTATCCCAGTATATCCCTATGTTAGTATCCAGCCTATCAGTTTGGCAGCATCCAAAGCAGGGGTGCTGCCTCTTTCCTCTACGCTGGCATAAGTGGCCCTGCAGAACTTTCCAGGAGCTTTTGCCTGCAATAAAATTTCTGAAGTCAAATTCACAAGTCATTTAAAAGTGCATGTGGTGAGCAGGGTTGGGTTGGGCAAGCAAGTAATTTTGCTTCAGCCATGATAGATAGCTGGCTTCCTCACCGATTGGAGTGCACACCTTGCCCAGGGGGACTGGGGAGGACAAGGGTGTTTTGGGATTTGTTTTTGTGGTTCTGGTTTGTTGTTGTTGTTGTTATCATGTTTTTGTTATGTTTATTTTTTTTCCAGGAAAACTCACTGAAAATCACCCATTTCACACAGTGATGGATACCTGGGACACATCATTGCCTGGTTCAACTCTTGAATCTTGTCCAATGCAAATAAAGTATTGCCATACCCACCAGCAACAAGGAAAAAACTGCACTGAGGGTGCAAGCCAAGCACTCAGTACAAAGAATGCCAAAATTGAGACACACTCCATTCAGTGCTCTGGAGGGCAGAGCTTACAGAAAGAGAATCTGATTCCTTTTTGTCCTCCTTGTTCCATCACCTATAAAATACTCAGTGAGAACATCACAAGGCCTGCTCTTAGCACAGAAGTTTTTTCTATGGGCTTTTTAGTCTCAGTCATTACTATGGTATCTAATAGCTTCATAAGACTTACCTTTCAATCCCCAACTTAAATAAGAGGGGTTTACTATTCATATATTTCTCGTTAGTCTTTTGAAAAACAGATGTATCAAAACTAGAATTTGCCCCTCCAGTGGAAAGTTTTTTCACATGTAAAATGTCCATAAAGCCTATTACATTCAGCTGCAGCTTAACACTAATGAAAGCAAGAAGACAGATTTTTATTATGGCTTCACAGAAAATCAGAACATACAAATAACCAGCTGCAGAGAGTTTGGTTTCAAGGAAAACTAAGTAAAACATGTTGAGAAACTATCACACAGCATCAGAGTGATGATTTTTGGAGTCTTGGCTCTCAGGATATTACCTAGATGATGAGTAAGACACCTTGGAGTAATATCCCAAGAATCTGTATGTGTAGTACACAAAGCTACTTCAGGTAGGTGGTCGGGGATGCTTTGGACATGGCTGTGCTACAAACCCAGCCATTCTCCATAATTAAGTGCCTCTTTCATGGATTTTAATTTTTTTTCCCTCTGCCTGAAATTAGCCCTTTTTCAAAATGCAGCCACAGGGTCAGACTTTTAAAATATGGCTGGAGAAACTCCCTTTACCAATCTCTCACCACATAACAGCTCAGCATCTAGTGAGCTAGATTCAACTCCTCCACGACCAAATGGGAAGAAGGTGACTACACCTTGACTTCCTGAAGAGTACACTCAACACACCCCATCAGCAGGAACCTGTAAGGGCACTGATGGCACAGTTACATCTTGATAGCCCTCACCAGCCTTACCTGGGAGCCACACACATATGGCCCATGGGCCAGAGCTCCACTTAAACCCAGGCGTGGCCTTTAGTCCCTGTCAGAGCTTTCTAGTAGATACATGTGTGTTTGGTTTGGTCTCCTGCCTTGTTTCCCAACCCTATTGTAGCTCCTTTTCTACCCCAGGGCTTATTGTCTGCTGCTCTTTGTACAATCTTTAGAACTGTTTTGTTGCTGCATCTTGTCCAGGATTGTCAGTGCTGCCACTGCCCTGCTCAGGTACTGTGGCAAAGTGCTCTGGCCAGGGAAAACACTGCCTGTGGCATGGCCACCCTCAGCTCCAGGCTTTTCCTCCCTTGAGCAGCAGCCTTGCTATTGCTGCTCCCTAAGAGCAATAGTGCTAATGATAATCACAACAATAACGATAAATGTAATGAAAAGGAGAGAGAGGAATAAAGCCTTGGAAAAAAAGTGGTGCACAGTAGAGTGCTCAGCACACACTGACTGATGCCTAGCCAGTAGCTGCTGACTGGAGTTAAACCACGACGAGTGTTTAATTTGCCTTCATCTTATATTGAAGATAAACAGGAATTCTATGTGGCTGGTATGGACCGGGACTGTAACAGGGCTTTGCTTTGTCCAGCTCATCGCCTGCCAGCCCCCAGCCTCAGGAGCCCTCCAGCCCCGCTATAACCAGACACCCAGCAGCTGACAGTGCTGTCCCAGCGATGTGTCATCCCAGTCACCATCACCTTCCAGTGCTTTGGGTGTTTATAATAGACTCAGTTCCTGCTGTTCTCTATTCATAGAAGCTGCCTTTCACCCCACAATCAGAGCCTGGCAGCAAATGTTTGCGTTGTCACACAGAGTGAATATTGTGTGTCAGGGTACTCGGTGCTTGGATGGCTGCCACGGCATTTATCTTTTTCCACAGCATCCAGGCCGTGGAGCTCCTTTTTGTTGCCCGGTTTCTACTTGAAGGGTCAGACAGTCACAGGTGCGCGTTTACCCCGGGAAAGGATGACGAGCACTCAGCTCCGACCAGCGCCGGCGACGCTGAGGGGACCGGCGCAACGCCGCGCCCCTTACCCCGGCCGCCGCTTGCCCGGCTCCCCCGTCCCTCCTCGGAGTCCGCGGCCCTTCCTCAGCCGCGCCGCGGCACCGGGAGCTCTCCTACACCGCTCCGGCGGCGCCCCTAAGGTCGGGCGACGCCGGTGCGGGGAGGGGTCGCCCCTTCCCACCGCCTCCGGAGGAAGTGACATGATGACGGCGGGAAGGGAAGGCGAGGGGGCCCCGTTCCCGGAGTGGAGCCGCCCGGCGGGTGGAGCCTGGCGGCCCCGCCCGAGCCGCCCGCCCGCTCCCGCCGCGTGCAAAGTAGTGGCAGCCGGTGCGGCTCGGCCGCCGCCCGCTCCCGGCGCCCCAGCGCGGCACGCGTGCCCAGGCCCGCCGGCGCCAGGTACGTGCTCTCCCCCTGGCGCCCTCCGCGCTCCGCAGGTGCGGGGCCACCCTCTCTACTCCGCCCGGCTTCGCTGCCCCGGGCGGACAAACCAGCCCCGAGCCAGCCCCTCCCTGGCGCTGCCGCCCCCCGGCAGCCGCTGGCGGGGCGGGCGGGAGAGGCGGGCGGTGGGCTGCGCGTACAAGTTCCCTGATTTAGTTGCCGCCGGGCTGGGTCTCCCCCGCCCGGACCCGCGCCGTTTCTCCCGCGGCCGCCGAGAATTTTCCTGCCGCCTGCGGGCCCCCTTTGTGTGGCGAGCTCTGCCCGCGCCCGGGTTTCCGTGGAAACGGCGGAGCTACGGCGGCCCAGCCCCGCCGAGCCCCCTCTGCCGCGCCGGGCGGGCGTGCCGCCCCTGCCACTTTCCCTTCGGAGCTGGCCGCCCGGCGCGGCTGGCGGTGGCCGGGCACGGGGCGGGCGGTGCGGTTGCCCCGGGAACGGGCCGGTGCCATCGCCCCGAAGGCGCCGCTCCACAGCGAGCGGGCGCGGTGGGCTCCGGAGCGGGCGGGCCCGGGTCGGTCGAGGCGGCAGTCGGTGAGCTGAGGCGGGGAGAGGGGCAGTGTGTCTCCCCGGTGACGTGCTCACGTGTTGGAGGAGCTCTGCCTTTCACCTATCGGAGTCTGTTCATAAAGATGTTTAAGCGGAATTAAATAATGGCCGCGAACTGAGTTAAGGTGTGTCGGCTGATACCATGTGGTGAACGTTATTTAAATAACAAGTAATGCTTTTTAGCATTTATTTCAACAAGTGAGCACTCACTCGAACGACTGAAAAGACAGCCCATGAAAGAGTTTGTTTCAGCAATGTCACCCCAAGACGTCTGGTCCGTATCTTTGTTACACATCTCTAAAAGTAGTGGTTTAAGTCCCTGTGCAGACATCTAAGAATGATGTACCTTATGCAGGTACTTGTGTGGGAGAGAGCAGCCTTGCTGCTACATGAAAACTGGAAGTGCTTTACAATGAGGTAGAAGGATGCCAGAAACTCTCAAACAAAAAAACCTAAGCATATTTTTTTAAAAGCAATGATGCCTCTGGCCCAGGAAGTCGTTGTACCAGGCGATTGTAGCCTCAGCTTGTACTGATGATGACTTAACGCTAGAGTGAGTAGCAAAAGAATTAAAAACTGCTGGAGTAGAGAAACTGTTGAGAAACAACTTAAGCTGAAATTTGCGGCCTTTTGTTTTCTCTAACTCCTCATGTGAAAGATAAGATTTGGTGTAGACGTACAGAAGTCTGTTTATATATGCCAGGACTACTTCGGTGTAAAGACTGCATGGATCAGTAGAATAGTTGATGTGCTCTAAATGTTTGCTGTCATTTTCTTTCTCTAGCTGGTTGTATCTGGTACAATACTGTGGTTTTCCAAACACAATGGATTGAAACACATATTTACTCACTTTAGAAATTTGTGTAAATATTATGTGTAGCTTTCCTCTTCCCTGTTAATGCCTGGATAAGCTGTATTGAAAAATGAAACTTAACTGTGTTTTATAGATATCAGGGCCAGGTTTCATGTGGAAGAATATATTGGGAAGCCTACAGAGAAGAAAGAACATACTGCAAGCTGCTTATGGATAAAGGTTGCTTTTAAGTAAAGTTTAGCTGTGTTGTTGGCAAGCACTGTAAAAGATTTTAGTAAGTGCCACACAACAAGGTGGAAGTAACGTATTCTAGGAGTGGAGAAATTGTACAGAGAGGTTAGCAATTGCTCAGAGTCACAGAACAGAGAATGCTGCGCCCAGAGTACAGTAATTAACTGTGTTTCTTGAAGCTCAGTAGGTGTCATTTTGGTGGGAGGTTGTTTTTACAGTGTCTTGCTCTGTTCCAACACAAATGCAGAGGTGCTGAAGCAGTGTTCATCTCTCTCGAGTGAGGTGTGCTCTCCTGGAGTCGTGCTTGTACATCACTCACAGTCTAATCGACTTACTGTACCATAACAGACAGGAGCTCTGTAGGAGAAAGGGTCTTTTGCAGATGATGGATGAGAATCCTACAGCTGTACTCTGCCCTGCTGAAAGGGGTGGATTGTTTTTTCTGTTGTGAACCCTTGATTTTACTGCTGGAAGGTGAAGACTGGGCACAATACCCCTTAAAATATCTTTTTGCAGGAAGACACTGTCGCAGCTGTGCTGAGAGTAGCAAGGTACTATTCTTGTGTTGCAAACGAGCACGTGTGAACCTTAGACCCTGTATTAGTAATTTAGTCTTAAATTTTAAGAATTCAGATTGCTGCTGCATGATATGGAGCGCCATTTCCCTAGTGGATATCATCACTAGTACTGCTGTCTGTGACACACTTGTCAGTGTGTCCTGATAAGGGAGCAGGGGGGCAACAGTGCATAGTGAGGCACTGTAAATGTACTTTACTCAGGAAAAGCTTTTGCAGCTGTGGGCCTTGCTTATCAGGGAGAGCATTATACCAGTCAGGGCAACTGTCTCATCAGGTGTGTTTGATTCAGCTGTACTGAATGCAGTGGGCATTTTGTAAGGAGAGTAGAAATGTGACAGAACAGTACCCTGTGTGCTTCGATGCCTTTCAGCACTGGTTGTGGCAGCTGAGGGTGTGTTTTTTCCCTGAAGTGCTTTATCTGTGGGGTGGCCTTGCCCAGTGATTCATTTTGAGATGTTTGGGAAAGTTTGCTCACCAGTCTGTTGTTTGGTGGTCTTGGGCTAATTAACATCTGACTGTGCTGAGTACCCTCATCAGCTCTGACTAATGCTCGTGTGCTGCTCAGAAATGCTGACTCACTTCGTTTTCGTGCTTTCCCCTGTCTTCCTCCAGTGCCTCGAACTAGAAAGGAGATAGGGTCCAAGGTAAGGTCAGAGAAGGATGAAATTAAAATGAATGAGAGTAACTGTGTGTTGTGGCAAGGATGAAGATGCTGCAAAGACCCCTCTTTGATAACGTGAGAGAAGTATGATAGCTGCAGTGGATTTGCTGAAAAGGCACATAAGCTATGTGTTAGGAACTGAGCAGAGCAGTGTAGCAACTGTAGTGGGCCCACCAGGAGATGCTGGGTTATGGTCCTGCTAATGGTCTGTTCTTGACCTTGAACTTAAAGCCTTTTTACTTCTTAGGCCACTGTTTTGACTTTCTGCCCTTCTGTCTGTCGTGTTATGTTCTGCCACAAAGAGCTTTGCACTGAAATAATTTTCTGCTTCTTGCAAAAGGGCTGACCCAGCTTGAGGTTTCTACTGTAGCATAAATAACAGGAACAGGGAAAGGTAATTAACCAGTCCTAGGCTGGAAAGGAGTCAGAGATAGAGGTCGCTGAGAGAGGGTTTACTTCCCAGAAGGTTAGGAGTTGCAGGCAAAGACAAGCACGCTGATTTCAGTTGCATGCAGGACTGTTAGTATCTGAAAAACCTCTGATATGCACTAGATTTCCTTTTAATTGTACCAACAAACTTAAATTTCAGTCATGGCTTCTCAGCAGGATCCAGGTGGATGTAAAGGTTTGTCCATGCTGGTTCGGTTGGCAGATAATGCAGGTTTTTTCTTCTGTTGGAAAAAGGATAAGACTCAACACCTACTGTTAAAGACGGGGAAAGAAATATATTTGTGGGGAGTCAATATGTGGAAATGGCACATGGATTTCAAGTGACAGCTACTTTGTGAAAGTTAAACTGTGTCCGGCTTCTCTCACTGTCTCCACGTTATCTGTGTCTTCACACATTGTAGTTTGCTGCTTCTTACCATGTTTTTGAGCATTTTGGAAAATAGTATTACTGCAGATACTGCTTTGCACTTCCAGAAGGTCTGGAAGCATTCTGCCTGCAAGCAGACTACAATTGCTCTTGAATAATTTATGAGGTTCCCCCCTTCGAGTCACAGGTGATTCGTCAGGAGTTAATTCTGTGATTCTGTCTCACTGCATGTTTTTTACATGCCTGTGCCTCTGGGTGTGTGCATAAATACTGCATTTCACCCAAAAAGACAGAAAAAAGCTTCATTTTGTATTTAACCTTGTAAAAGTATCTCAAAATACTTAAAGTAAGCAGGAGAAATGCTCAGAGCCAGGCTTTTAAAAGGACCTGGGTACATGCAGTTACTCAGAGATGTTGTAGAAAATCCAGGTAGGTGTTGGTGTATATAATGCTTAGCTGAGTGCAAAATTTATAAAAACGTTCCTGGATTTCTAGCTGCATGTTTAGAAGCTGTTAACATCTGCACACTTGCCATCCAGTAAAGTAATTGCAGTCAGATCAAACATTGTCTCTGAATGATCTTGCTGGATTCTTAAGGTGGTTTTTACTAGCCCTGGCTGTAGGTGCTGAGAATCCAGCATCATTAATTAGTTGCATCACATTTAGCTGTTTTGGAGTCATGATGTTTGCTAAACAACAAAGACAATTTAAGCTTTTTGAGAGATTTCTTCTGGCTTCAACAGATTTTGAATCGGATCCAAACTGAAACCTCCCTTTATTACTGGTCCCCGTGATAAAGGCTTTTATTCTCTGAAGTTCTCAAATTAAATCAGGCTGTTAGGGGACTGATGGTCAGGCAGAATGAGGAGGTTGAAAGTATTCCTAGTTCATACTGTGGCAAAATAGTTCTGAACACTCCTGAGGCAGAGATGAGCGAAAACCGATGTAGAATGTGGCTGCTGATATGTGGGTAAAGCTGTCACCATGTTTATTTGGGTTTTTACCTGGCATCTGGATGTCTGGTTGTTTCCTGTGTAGGTACATCTGAGCCTTTCACTGAAGCTGGCACCTTATTTTTTGGACCCATGCCACCCACATCTCAGCTATAACATGTTTTAAGTATTGGATGTTAGGTCTTTGGGGCAGGAGTTGGTTTTATTTGAATAATAAATCTGGAAGCTTCATTCTTCAGTTAAACTATTTTTTACAAAAATAATCATTAAACAGCATTTAATGGATAAGTACTAATATCCTGCATATCTCTGTCTTGGTGTGGCTACATCTTTTGTATGCACTGTCATTTCCAGTTTTGGGATGTGATTTTCATAAAAGAGAGATTCAGCTGCTTTATACTCTTCAGCATCATATGATAGAATACAGACAAATTAAATCAATACTTAAAGGTTAAAAAAAGGCCTTGTGAATCTTTTTCTGTGTAGTGTTTCCTTAGTATTCAAAGAGCATACTAATGTTGTTTCATATTAATTAAAAATATGCAAATGGCTTAGCTGAAGGAGACTGTCTCCTGTCACAGAAGGTACAGAAACCTAACAGCTCACTTGGAGCTGTAGTCAGATAATGGCACTTCTTGTTTCCAGCACAGTTAACAATGTCTTGTGATTTGTACTGGAAGCTTTTGGATTCCCTCCTGGAGAAGGTCAGTGCTGTTTTCTCGTACTGTGTGACTTAGAAGCACAAAGAATGGGGTCTGTGCCATGTACCTGTTGCATCTGTGGCAGCAGGGCTCAGACCTGGCAGGCAGGAGAGCGTGGCTGTCTCCAGTAGGGGCCATACAGCTGCTCAGAGAGAGGCACCACGTTTGAAGTTGTCGCACTGGGGTTTTGGGGACAGTAGAAAATTTGTTATGGCCCACAGCTCAGTGGTGGAAGTCGCGCTTGAAACCAGCAGTGCTGTCACCGTGATGTATTTCTCAGCTCAGGGACTTATGCCCAATCTCTGCCACAACTTTTAAGATTTTTGCTGCCACAAATTCTATGTTACACTGTAGTTGCACTTTCTGTTTTTTTTAAATAAACAAAACAACAAAGCCACATAAGTTAGGAATTAGACTCCTAGAAAAAGGCTTAAAATTACCCATACATTACCCAAAATTACTAAAATGTAACTCACAATATCAGAAAATATAAAGAAATCTTTATATGGAAGTGAGGAAAGAAAGTTACCCTTTTCCCAATGCTGATGATTTTTATCTTCCAGTTGATGTCTTTGTAGCATCTATCAATGCCTTTAATTCCTTCTAAGGGTCAGAATAATAGGGAAGACTTGTATTTGTGTGCACACACGTAATAGTGCCCACTTGGTGCTAAAGTTGTAAACTTGTAGTTTATGGTACAGAACCATCCAAGCTGCTGAATACTTGACTTGGATTTCTTGAGGAATGGAGAAAGGAAGGGAAAGCGGAGTGCATTAGATCAGCACATACATCCTGGGTTGTGCAGGAGCAGTTATACCTATGGCAGCATCTGCTTCTGCTGAAGGTCCTTGTGCGATGTGTCCATTCCATCTCTGCTCTCTGTGTGTGACCTTTCAAAAGGTTCAAGGCAGATGTGAGGGTGAGCAAGAAGGCAAAGGAGTGTGAAAAGTACCATTTTGTGTTGAAAGCTGGAGTCTGGGGAAGTGGCAGGTTGTGGTTCTGCTGTTGGCTGTTCTGTGGATTTACTGTGTACCTTTCACAAGCTCTCTACCATGGGACATTAGAGGGGAGCAGCAACAGGGATCTTTCTAGGTTTATTTCACTAGTGTCTTCTCAATGGCTGTAGCTTTTTCTGTCAAATGAGATGGATAAGTACAGGCAAAAAATGGACAAAATCCATAACTGCTTTCTAATCCTATATACATGAAGGATTTGATCTTGCATAAAGAAATGGATGTGCTCATGTTAATAAGTCTGCTTAGAGGTTATGAAACTCTTCTGCCTGGATACAACTGCTTATATGTTAGAGGTGTGTTTGTCTGTTGCAGGACTGGAGTTGGGAGGCGATACTTTTATAATCTAACTTTGCAACTCATTGTGGGTAAGAATAGGAGGATTAAATATTTGAAGCTTTGAAGTAAATGTGATCCATGTTTCTGTGTTGCCTCACATGTAAACGTGGTTTGGATGCAGGGGAAGAATTTTGTCTCTTGAGACTGTATAAGCAGTTCCTGTACCTTGTGCTGGCTCTTTGTGTTGCTGTGAATATAATTTATAGTTCTTAAAACAAGGTGAGGGCAATCAGTGGCATAAGCTATGAGCCTTCATAGGAGTGGCCTTCTTTCTAAAGCTTATCTCTTATCAAGGGAATGTTTGGACTCCCAGCACAATTTTAAAAAGCAGCCCTGTTTTTTACCAGCTCTTGAGTAATCCTTTGTCGGCCTTATTCCATACCCCCGTTTATTTGGGCTCTTTTAAAGGAAATGTTTTTCTAACAACCACTGAAGAACTCAGTAGTTACTCTTGTGTTGGATCTGTTCCTGAAATGCCCAGTGTAGAGGTGATGAGTGTGCCCTTGATGCTGGGTGAGTATTACAGTGCAGGTGGCAGCATCCTGCTGTACCACCCCTGCTGCCTCTGTAGTTTCTAATGTGTTCATTTCCTGTGTAAGGACTGATGGTGTGGATCTCACCCTTGAGAGATTTTTCTTAGGCTGTGCATTGAGGATCAGTGCCCTAACTAGACTGACTCTGATCTCTGTACTTCAAATGAACAGTTTCCCCAATTTGTCCGTGACTGTTCTGTACAAAATTTCAAAATTTCATGTATCATAAATGCAAAAGCATCTCTGCTTACGGACATACATAGGTGTGTTTATATTTGATAAGGCTTTGTTTGTTGCAAACATTCAGAATCAGTAATTTAACAAAGCACCTGCACTTTTGCAGGATGCCATAAGTCATTGTAGCAACTTTGTGCAAGCATGTTTGTAGGGGTTTGTTTTTTAGAGTGCCAGATGACAGTAACATGTGGGTCTGGTTACCTTTGATTAACCACTTAATGTTGTCCATGAAAACAAATATTAAATTGTCTGTGAGCATGTGATGTAGTTGCATGTCATACACCCTTTGTGGTTATTCACCTCAGTCATTTTTGAGGAAATATCCAGGTTGATTTGTTAGTGTGACAGCATATCCCACATCCTGCTTAGATTCTCAGTATACTTTCTTCTCATTTTTTTACTATTTAGTCCTGCTGTCTTGCTTAGTCCCTAAGTTTTACTTTTGTGTGGTGCTGCCCTTGTAATCTGTGCAAGTGACTTGTTAGATCAATGGACCAAGTTAAAGTAATGAAGTAAGAAAGGAAACAGAGGGCCTGAACTCACTGGTCCCCTGTGAACTCTCAGACTGAACTCTGATAAATTCATCTACATCTTGAGTATCTTAATGCAACTCTTTTTATTTTTTCCAAGCAAATTGCAGATAATTTTGCTTTATATATATTTGTAAGTGTAGATATATATATGAGTGTATTAAAGTACAGAAATCTGTGTGGGAATCAGTTGAACAGCAGCACTTGGCATTTTGGAAAGAAGCAACTTGCCTTACAGTGCTATTTTTGTGAACTTCATGTTCTGCACCCGAGATAACTGATATACTTCACCCTCACGTATTTTTTGAGGATCTCTTTAGAAGCTTGGAACAGAAGTGCTTAACTTCAAGGGATTTATTCTTTCCAAATAAATACCTCCTCTCAGCATCAAGCACTGCAGTCTCTAAATGTTGCATCTCTAAGGAGTTTTGTATTGATATGTGTTTAAGTTCATCTCCCTTCTCCCTGAGTATTTCATGCTTCTGGAAAAAGGAGCAAGACTGAACTGCTTCTCACCAGAACTTGGGCAGTTGCTCCGCATCTTTCCCGCTCCTTCCCAGACTATGCATACCTCTCTCGAGCTGCTGTCATCCTCCTCACCTTGCTGTATAAACATTGAGTCTAACCGGAGCTCTGCTATGCCTTTTGCAAGTAAGGTATGTGTACACAGAGGACTTGTGTCCTGGTAGGCATGCAGAGTTTGTATAGCTGTTTTCCCTACATTAGATCACAGCAGGAGGAAAATTTAAAAGGGAGAAGGGGAAAGTATTATGCTGCAATAACCATTTGAAAACTCCCAGATTAATACTTCTATTTCTTCAGTTGACACTCTGTTATGCAAATCATCTCTCTGCTCACTAGAAGATAAACAGTAAGTCAGTTTTATAGCAAGTATATAAATTTGAACTTCTAGATCTTGCTGGTAGATGGTATGTATTCTTCAGCTTTTGAAGCAGCCAGACTGACTGATCTCTCCATTGTAACAATGTGTAGCTCAGTAATGCTGGACTCCTTCTAAAAATCTAAAGCATTTCTAAGTTCTCTTAACTTTAGGGAAGCATCTTAAGAATATGCTCAAATTATTCTCCAGTTTGGCAATTTTTGGAGAAATTGTGGTGCGTTGACCTTGGCTGACTTGGTTTGCATCAAACTGTTCCCTTACTCCCCTTCCTCAGCAGGACAAGGGAAGAAAACAGGACCAAAAAGTTTCTGTGTTGAGGTAAGGACAGGGGGTCATTCACCAGTTATCATCATGGTCAGAACAGACTTTACTTGGGGAAGTTTAATATTATTTATCATCTGCTGATAACAAAGAAGGGCAGTAGAAAAAATGCTCTAGGGGGAGGTGGAAAGTGATTAAAACCCTAATTAAGCATGAGGCAAATAGATAATTCTTCCTCCAGATTTGGGGTTTTTTTGGTGTGGCATGTACAGACACAGTCTCCTTGCAGATGAATACACACCTGGATGCAACCTCACTTTTGCTAGCTTGGTGCTCCCTGACCAAAAGAGAAGAGCACAAGGGCTTCCTGTGACTTGCTTTGCTTATGTATTTCTTGTACAGCAGCACTGTTAAAATATACTCTGATGTATATGCAGTGCTGCAATCTGTGCTCTTTTCACAGAATCAGTGAGGTTGGAAAAGACCTCAGAGATCGAGTCTAGAGTCTGGGACAGAGCACCACCATGTCAACCAGACCGTGGCACTGAGTGACAGATCCAGTCTTTCCTTTAAACACCTCCAAGGTGAGTGACTCCACCACCTCTCTGGGCAGCCCATTGTAATGTCTAATCCCCCCTTCTGTGAGGAAATTCCTCTTGGTGTCCAACCTGAACCTCCCCTCGCACAGCTGAAGACTGTGTCCTCCTGTCCTGGCTCTGGTTGCCTGGGAGAAGAGGCTGCCTCACCTGGCTGCACCCTCCTTTAGTGAGTTGTAGAGAGCAATGAGGTCACTCCTGAGTCTCCTTTTCTCCAGGCTAAGAACCTCCGGCTCCCTCAGCCGCTCCTCACAGGACTTGGGCTCCTGACCCTTCACCAGCTCTGTTGCCCTTCTCTGGAGGTGCTCTGGCGCCTCAGTGTCCTTGTAGTGAGGGGCTCAGAAGCGGGTGCAGTACTCAATTGTGGCCTCACCAGTGCCAAATACAGGGGTTTTGGTGGCGACTGATACTGACTTAAAAGGCACTAAACTGAAGCTGCTTAATCTGACCTGATCATATTTTCATAATAGTCTTTGTAACTCTTCCATCCAAGAATCTGGTTTAGATGACAAAATGCAAGAATAGGCGTCATCATCCAGTGGGTTGTTTTTAACTTGGAACAAAGCATTTGAATGCTGAATCAAAGACTAGATAAAAGTGAAAACTTTCATGAAAGCTTGAAATATGTACTGAAGAAAAAAAGATATAGTGCTGACTTGCCTTTCTTTCTAAGTGGGTGATATCAGCTCAATCTAGATGCTGTCAGATACATACCGTGTTGCTTTCCACACTCCATTAACTCTATATACTACATGAACTTTGGAAACAGTGGGTGGCACTTCTTTGCTTCATTTGTGTGCTTTCTCTAAAAGTGCAAACAGTTGTGAGTTTTTTGTGAAATCTCTAGCTGTAGTCTCAAAACACTTACTGCCTTGGAAGTATGAAATAGAACTGTTCATTGGCAGCAGCCTCTGCTGGCATAGAGTTCTTCACTAGGCATATCGCTTCTGTGACCTCCTGGTCAGTTAGTCTAAGCAGAAGGAAATGCTGACAGTAGTTGAAGTAGAAAACACAGTGGATCTTGCTGAAGATTGGGAATTGGAGAGAAAAGAGTTAGAATGAACAGTCATGTAATTTGCTTTTAAACCTGAACATGTGACCTCTTAGTCACATGAATAGATGCTTGCTGACTTGGTCCCTAAACAGACATTTGAGGTTTGAGTCTTCTGTTCTGTGTCCAAAGGAAAAGTGTTATAAAGAATGTCTCTGTCTGGGTTAGATGCTCTAGCTAGCCATTTTCTCCTAATTAACTTTAAGGAGTGTTTGATAGAAGAGAGCTTCTTGGCAGCATTCTGATCTTAATAGCTTCTGAGAAAATGCATTGATTGGCCCTTTTGTTTTTAAAAGATTGCTGTAATTTTCAGTCATTATCTATAAGGAAATCACTAATTTATTAAACCAGCATCATGGATTAAGAATTAAAGACCTGACTCTTTTATCACTTAAACTGGTGTTATGTTGATGTTACCCAGGAGGACTGTTAGACAAAGTGTAAGGTATTCCTGTGGACTCTTAAATGCATGTTTCTAGACTTCATTCATAAGATCAGAACTGATTTTTTTGTTACTTGTACCAAGAATAAATTGCATTTTTGGAGTTTGGGTAATGAAAACAGAAAAATAATCTTATGAGTTTATGTCTGAGAAACAGAAACTTAGCTACCATTCCATATACAATGTTTAGGTTGCATATTTTATAGGTAGTCAAAACAGAAAATTTCTCTGTGTAGTTCCCACTTTTTGGAAAAAAAATAATTTAATCACTGTCTCTCATTTCTTGTTCCTTTTGCAAGCAAGTTAGGTTAGCTGCCTTTGGATGGTACTGCTTAAGTAGATTTAGTTTGCCTTAAAACAGCTCTCTGAAGCTTCACGGTTAAAGTAGGAAAGTGAGGAGTTAATTACTTTCAGACATGCCATTGTGGCTTAATAAAATTGTAAGGCAATAATTATGTTTTATCAAGGTTATCTCATATTTGTTTATTTTATTTCTGTGAAGTTTTAAAGACACAGCAGGAAGTAAATGATTCACATAAATGTAACACTTTAATAAAGTTGGCAGCTGTTAAAAAGGTAACAAAAAATTACTGGATTAATTGGTGGACAAAAAGACTATTTTTGTTACTAAGTCTATCTGTCATCTGCTTTCTAAGGTAGATTTATGTTGATTATATCAAATAGGGAGTTTTCAGGTCTTCACTAAGTAAGCAGTGCTCTGGTCTTTATTTGTGGCTGCTGTTTTTGTGCTTTATCCCATGGCTTACTGATCTGTGGGAATTACCTTAGTGTGATTCTGTGGGATAGAATTAAACAGCCAGACTAGCACAAAAAAACTTTCTGATCATTTTTAGCCAAGGACAGTAGGATAAACCCAGTCATCAGGGTTTTGGACACTGTGGAGTCTTTGAAACCATCCGCTTGCAGGTAGCTGGTTGCTTCTGTTCTGACTGTTTTAAAGAAAGTTTCTGCCTTTTTATTTTTAATTGTTTGGCTTTGTCTTCTGAGTGTTCATTGGACAGATTGGAGAAGAAACATAGCAGTGGTTCCTGCTAGACAACATTTCTCATTCTGCTTGGCTTTCAAAAACCAAGCCTTTGGTCAAAGCCCAAGCTAGTAAATTGTCTGCCACCCTAAGAATTATAGCTTTAATAGGAGGGTTTGTTAAAGCTGGAGAAGCTTTTTGCGAGTATCATGGCAGTGGTTACTACAATGAATAGAAGCCTGTTCTACCATTCTGGTGTCAGCTGTGGTACTGAATAGTACAGCAAGATAAAGGGAGCAGAAGGGCACATTTTGTCTGCTAATAATAGGCTTGGGACTGCTATAAACTCTATATATAAATTATGCAACAATACAGATTGTCTTCCTTAAATTTTTCCTCATCTTCCTTGTGGTTGAAAATCTGGCTAAATAACTTCCGAAGGCTCTGCAGCAAATCTTGTGTGTGCTCTTTGATGTGGCGAGCAGAGTCAGCAAAGGGCAGTAGCAGAAATGTTTCAGGTCACTGATCTAGACTCAGTGCCTCACATAATGGGGTCTCATATAAACTAAAAGGATAGGCATAAAGATTTTTTTCATCAGTTAATTCCCTAGGCTGCTGACATCTGCTGTTTTGTTATTGCATGTGACTGGCACATTCAGAAATACTGTCTCAGGGCTTCCTCCCTGGGAAAACTCTTCCATGCCTCAGAGTGGGAAGCAGTGCAGGAGTGGAACAGGATGGCAGAAGCACCTCCTGTCTAACTGTGTTCAGACTACTGGGGGTTGTGTTTACTGAGAGATGTGTGTTCATTCTAGTGATGGTGGGGGGAGGTCAGTGTAATATTTGATAGGTCAGAATACTTTGCAGAGTACATTTCCTCTGAATGCTCAATTGCTAAGGTTGGACTGGACCTTTCCAAAATTATACAAACATATCACAAGTAACATGAGAATTGATTGCTTTCTGGAAACACTTCTGGGTCATGGGTTAGTACTGTTATTGATGTTTCATTTCTGGGTTTATGGATTATAACTGACAGAATCAGTGTCAAGGAATAATTGAACAAATTGCATGTATTGTGCATAGCCAAGCTTTTATTCTCTTGCCAAAATCAAATGTAATTGGAGTATGAGAGGGGAAGAAGACAATACAGCTAGAATTAAGGGGCTGCTGCCTCTTGTTTGGGGACCATGGCCTGTAGAGAAAAGCACATCTCCTAACCAAGCTCTAAAGCTTGCATTTACTTTGGAGCTGTTCTTGAAGATTACAGAGGTGACAGTGTATGTCTCATGAAGTACAAACAATTCAAATAAAAATACAGGTTCATATCAAAACTGTTATGTAGTTCAAAGCAAAATATTTGCTCGTATTTTATCAATAAAAACTTTATAGAAGAGTATTGTAGTCCATGGAGTGGAGTCATATGTTCACAGGTTTTGCAGAGTTAAGACTGAAATTTAAGAATTTGTTTCCAAAGCCAAATGTAAATTGGTTCACAAATACAGTATTCTCTTTATGTTGTAACTTTTGCAAATACTGGCATCAGGCTTTTCCTACAATAGCCTTAACTTTAAGTGTAAGCATGAAGTTTGTTTTAAGTCAGTCTGTAGAGATAAATGCACTCTGTAACTGCTGATACTGTTTGGTTTTGCAGGTTGTCTTCTGAATTTTGTGTCTGAAGGTATCCTCTTGCTTTCTCAGCAAATCATGGACATCGTTGGCTTTCTGAAGTCGCAATTCATTTGCCACCTTCTGATCTGCTACATATTTATAGTGTCAGGACTGATCATTAACTTCATTCAACTCTTTACACTTATACTTTGGCCAATCAACAAGCAACTGTTCAGGAAGATCAACTGCAGGCTGGCTTACTGCATTTCAAGCCGTAAGATTTCTTTTTTTTTTTTTTTTTTTTAAGTATTTTTATATTTTGCCTTGAGGGAAATGGTAGAAAATTTCTGAATTTTAAAGCCTGTATAAAGGTCATGTCTGCTTTCTACAGCACCTGTACTTGTATGAAGAGATATATGCCTTAATGAAATGTCTTCTAGTGCTGAAATGTTTTGCTCTTTTTTAGTGGGATACTTCCTTGACTCAGTATGTTGAAGTAAGATTGCTTCTCATTTGGCTATCCATCATGTTTCCTAAAACCAAATGAGAAACATTGACCTAGTAATGCATCTCAGCAAGTTCAGCTATTCAGCTATTATCTGTAGGCTTACAGTGTTAACCAGTCACTTCCAATAATGTTTTCAATCTTTCTATCACCCATGATTTTGTTTATGATCTTGGTTTAAATGTTTCCTGTGCAAATCCTATTCAGGACTGGGAAATAACAGGAAAAAAAAGGAAAAATGTTTGATTTCATGTGCTTTTTTCTTAGGCCAGTTATAAACTGTTTTTTCTTTGAATAGGATTTCAGATATTCAGCTGCATCTGTAAGTATTTAGTATATGCATGTAGTTATAATGCAGAGTACAGCAAGTAGCCTGTAATCATTTGAAAGAAGCAGGGATTGAAATGATACTGATTTTTCTGGGAGCATGAGCTCAGGATGTTGTAGGAGGAGCAGACCTTTGACTGCAGAGATGTGACTGTTTACTGGCACTTGATGAAACAGGTAATTCCAGTGCAATGAGTGACAGCTGTGCCCATTTGTTTGTTCTCTGTTAGAGGGAGTGTAGTGGAATCTTCACCTGACAACAGTCAATTATCAGAGCATTTGCAGTTTTCTTGTTAATATCAGTTTGCTTATATATTTGCTTTTAAAGAGCTGCAACTGCAGTTTCAGCAATTTTATTGTATTGCTTGTTCTGACTTCCACATAACTGCATTAATGTACAGCAGAGAGAATTCTTCACAGAAAGTGTTATAGAAATGCTAATGTACGCACATTCAGTATTGAGGAATGTGTTGTTAAATGTGTCCAGCTTCCAGAGAGATTTCCCTGGGCTTATCTGAACCTCAGAAGTACTTTCTTAGAAGAAAACTGTTGAAAAATGCATGCCTTTGTTGCTCCCTACAGATTACCCAAGTGTGATGTCACTGTCAATGCTAAGTGACTTATGGATGTTTTTGTACTGGGGAAAACAACCCTCCAATACAGCATTTAACAATTGTGCTGAAGAAATGCAGCAAAATGGTTTCTTTCAAGTAACCTTTTCTGCTATTAAATGTTGTTAGTATTCAAAACCAGCTGTGAGGTAGAAATTTGTCACATGCCTCAACTTGGGGGTCACTAGGCATTATTTATCTTTCACCAGTGACTCTGATGAGTAACGATTCAAAGCATATTTTTGAAACATGCTTCTGACTTAAATTTCAAGTGCGTCAGAGTGTATAGTCCCAAATAAATTTGGGATGCTGTTTTATTATTTCTGTAATGGTGAGATGTTCTTTGTGAAAAATTTCTTTTTTGCTGTCTGTGTGTATGTCCCTGAAGTATTGAGTTTGCAAGTGCTATTCATTTGCATGTGCAGAGACTGGTATTGAACCTGGCCAGGTTTTTACCTTTTGCCTGGCAGCACAGTGTATGTTTGAAGCCATAGCATGTAGAAGATACTGTACAGCTGTATATAGATATATATTATTATTTTTCATGCGTTATCTTCTGGCCCATTCTTGCTTTTGGCTACTTGGTGTAGAGAGAGCAACTATTCTACAGTCTTCAGGCTGAATCCTTCATTTTATCTCAGTCTAGTCTGATCTGGGGAATGGGCAGTATGGAAGAGGGAGTAATCTTGAATGCTTGTCCTTGGTGGGGCAGATGGCTTTGTACTCAGGGTTGTTGATCTTGTCTTCAGTGTTGATGCCATTGGAATAGATTGTGTTGTCAGGTTTTTGCCCCGTCATGCTGAGAACAAAGTATGTCTAGGTTAAAGCCATTTATTTTAGCTTTACAACAGAGCAAGCTAGCATTTGATGAGTCACCCTTATCTGAGTGATATTTGGAAAGGGGAAAACAATAGTTAATTTGAAAAACTATTTCAAAGAACTAAAGACCAATTAATCAAAATGGATGTGTTTTTGGGGGCCACTGATGTGCTGATTAATAAGTGAGGTCTGTATGGGTCTGATGAAAGTTATGGAAACAGCCTACAGTTGGAGACAATGAGGTTCAGCATTGGAGAATATAAAGGTGTGTGCTTTTGCGGTGGTGGCAAGAATCATGTTGCCTTGAGAGCCTGATGCAGCCTGAGTCACCAAGTCAACCAAAGAGTGAAATAGAGCAGACATGGTTTAATTGAAAAATGAAATGAAAGCAGCAGTTGTCCTTAGGTCCTGCAAGTTCAGTTGTTTTCCATTTGATGTCAAAGGTAGAGATAAATGGCTCCATGAAATTGGAGAGTTATTTTGTCTTTGATGCTGTGCTCTTTGGGCAAGTTGGAGGTTTTTGTATTTCAAGTAGTGGTATTTTCTTACACCTTTTTTTGTCCTATCTCCTTTCTAATAAAAGAATGTAATATTCTCACTTCCCCTCGTGCACTGTCTGCTATCATGATGCATATGGGAAGCTAAAGTTCTCTTGTGATTAATGACTTGTCCTCAGTTGAGTAGTACAGCTTGAGTTGGGGTGCTTCTCTGTTCACGTGGATCAACCAGACTAGCTTGAGTTAAAGTATCCATGGAATCATGGAATCACCAAGGTTGGAAAAGACCCTTATGATTGAGTCCAGCTGTCAGCTCAGCACTGCCAAATCCACCTCTAAACCATGTCCCTAAGAGCCACATCTACACATCTTATAAATATCTCCAAAGATGATGATTCAAATCCTGGGTTGTTTCAGTGCTTGACAAGCCTTTCCATGAAGAATGTTTCCCAAATATACAATCTAAACCTTTCTGGGTGCAGTTTGAATCCATTTCCACTTGTCCTGTCACTTTTTACTTGGAAAAAAGAGGCCAACCCCCACTTTACTACAACCTCCTTTCAGGTAGCTGTAGGGAATGATAAAGTCTCCCCGATTATCCTTTGTTCCCTCAGTTGGTCCTCATAAGCCTTGTGCCCCAGGCCCTTCAGCAGGCTCATGCCGTGATCTGGCTGCATGGAGTAGCTGTGGTGTGGTAGTTGAGCACAGGTAGTTGAGTGCAGGCTGCTGCTTCTCTGCCCTGAGTCGGGCACCTGCACTACAGCTTCTCCCCATAACTACTGACAGCCCAGAAGGCTAAAGCCACAGACATCAAACTTCTCGTCAATGCAAGTTAAAGAGCTAAATACCTTGTTTCCAATTTGAATTGACAGAAGGATTAACTAGAGCAGCAACTTGCTTTTAATGAAGCAGGGCAGGTGTAATGGCATATACCAAGTTGCCTTCAGCAACTGGTGATGAGAAGTTATTGCCATTATTGTAACCAGTTGTGAGTCAACAGGGTGAGCTTAGCTTCTCTACTGACCTGCTCCAATATGTAAGAACATTAGGATGCTCTCCAAAGGGTATGTTATCCATTCCCCATATTGCAGTTTGGGTTGCTTTTATATCTCCAAGATACTTCTCATACTTTACTATGAGTAAACACGTCCTGTTTGATCCTGTTATTCCATTTGACAAATACATACAGAATAGTGGTTAGTTCTAGTGCTATGTCCTCTGTATGTCTTGATCTTTACTGAAGAGTGTTGTTGAAAAGAGTGGACATCCAGCTTCAAAAGAACAAACTTTTGTCTGTGTTGGTCTTGAAATGAGCCAAAAGATTGCTAAGGGTTATGCACCTTCTTTCATGTTGAAATAAACAAACCAAAAAACCTCCAAACAAAGAACAAAAGAAACCACACACACAAGAACCTAATAACCCTTCCAAAATAAAAACAGGATACCAAAATCTTAGGACTTGTAAATTGCAAAAAATATTTTCTGGCTTCAAATATATATTCATGGATAGGTTCAACTGCCTGTTAATCCACTTCCCTTTGGTAAAATGACAACCTGGATAAACTCCCTCGTACTGAAACCAGCAGAGTGCACCCTATTAAGGAAATTGAGCACTGCAAACCTCAATAGGGTGATACCAATAAAAATTTCAAACATAAGTGTGCTTGGAAGTTGGCATAAGAGCAAAGGTTGGGCAAGCAATCAATCTTAGGTTTTATTTTTAAATATTTTAGGAACATTTTGTTCTCAGTTTCTTCTTCTAAAAGACAGGAACCAAGGTAGGAAGCACTTACTGTGGAATACATCACAGTTCTCATAGATGCTGTTTGTGCCTGAATTGGAAGAGCTGGGAATACACCTTACTCCTCCCTCTTATGTCATAGCAAACCACCACAAGGGGTGCACACAGCTTTTCTGCAGTAGCTTGTACAGTTGGCCAAACACATCGAGGGAGCAGGTAGTCTTGGGTTTCGTGCCATATGTGCACATGGCTGCACAGCTTGCTGGGCAGTGGAAAGTGGTTTGTACTTCCCAAATCAGTTTGTGTTTGCTTGGCTGTTGAAGTGCAACCCCAGGCCAAGCACAAGACTGTGCTGGAATCCTGTGGACTGTTCAGGACACGTGCCTAGACCGTGAGAGTGGGACATACACGTACAGGGTACGTGGCTTCTTTAGAGGTGCTGAGTGGAGGTATTTGCCTGTTAGTAGAGCAGTGTTGTTATCTTGTCCTCTTGCTGCCACCGTACTGGGGGAAATGAGCTCCTGTGCCTCCAGGGTGAGTGGCAAAGTGGCCTCCTGCTGACTGTGCACCAGGTGAAGGTTGCATAAACAGCACACCTGGCAGTAATGACATGGTCGTGTGGACATGTGCACAAGGGCCTTAAAAGCAACCAGCTTAGCTTCTAATCTGCCTTCATAAATAAATTATAGTAGTACTAATACCTATTGTTATGCCATGAAAGGGATGCTATTACACCTCTGGGTAAAGTTACACTATGTAGGCTGCAGTTTGTAG